TATTTTAGACACAATATTGTCCGTTTTGTTCTGTTTTGCCAACATAAGTAGTTCCGTACAAACACACAGAAGAACCGTTGTGTGTCTCTTTCAATTGTTTCATTCCTGAATGAAACTGCATTTTTAACAAATTGGGTAAGTGAATGATTCAATGACTCATAAGATTAGTGAAAAGTAGACTAGTTCTCCTACTAATAAAGTGAACCCAGAGTATTTTGCATTCACAAAGCATGTTGCAAGTCTGATATAGTCTGATGCCTGGGTTCATTTAAAGTGGTCACATCTAAGCTGAAATTCCTGTGAACCACCCTGTAACTAATTTGAAGAAAGAAAGAATCAGCAGCAAATAGACAGGTGTTTGAGGATGATCTCAGTATGGGCGGCACCTTGGCAGTAGATGACTGAGCTGACCTTTGCAGTAATCTCCTCTCAGAACCACGCTCTGTCTCCACATCTAACAAGCTTCATTTCTATTTGCTCTGCTTTCAGCTTGCTGTCTGCCCTTTATCATAAAGAATTAGCCTGTCTCAGTGGAGGAGAGCAGCGTTGTCATTGTGTTGGGTATGGAGCTCAGCGCAGTTCAAAGGTCAGGGTGATTATGAGCGCCCAATGACAGGGAGGACATGAAACATGTGCAGCACATTGTAGCTGTTGGGAGTGGAATAGATCCAGGTTTTCAGATGCAAAAGCCCACAATGGTTATGGAACACAGCGGGGGCTTTTATTTGCTTGTATTATGATATAATGAGAGTCAGTTGTATTGATTCTAAGATACAATGACTATTTTCTTGTTACTTTGCTCCTCCTCCCTTATTCTCTCAGTACTGTATATACAGCCATCATTTGCTACGCACAAAATGTACACAAACATCTCGTCTTAAAACGAAAAGCCATTTAGTGACTATTAGCACAGACGGTAATAACACTGTGTTAATTGCGGCAGACTATTGCTGAGTTTTGTGAATGAAGCTCAAAGTATGAACCTAATTTACATAAAAATGTATGGAGGATTGTGAATACCACTTAAAAATAAAATGAAGAAATCAATTAATGTTTTAAATTAAGAAATAAAAATGTACATTAAGTCATTTTCAATATGACAAACCAATTTACAGCTATTTAATGTTTGAAATGTAGTTGAATGTAACAACATAAATTACACTAATTATAATAAAATTATTCACTTTTGAAACTGACAAATAAATATATGTATTAACAGCTGTTTATTTAAAATGTGAGTAGAATTTTTTTCAGGTTTCTTTGATGAATAGAAAGTTCAGAAGAACAGCATTTATCTGAAATAGAAATCTTTTGTAACATTGTGTCTTTATCATAATGTCTTTGTCTTTATCATCACGTTTGATCAATTTAATGCATCCTTGCTAAATAAAAGTATTAATTTCTATAATTTCTTTCCCAAAAATAAATAAATAAATTATACTGATTCCAAGCTTTTGAATGGTATAGTGTATAATGTTTCAAAAGCATTTTATTTCAGATAAAGGCTGATCTTTGGATCTTTCTATTCATCAAAGAATCTTGAAAAAAATGTACTTGATAGTTTTAAATATAACATGATGATGATGATGATGATGATGATGATGATGATGATGATGATGATGATGATGATGATGATGATGATGATGATGATGATGATGATGATGATGATGATGATGATGATGATGATGATGATGATGATGATGATGATGATGATGATGATGATGATGATGATGATGATGATGATGATGATGATGATGAGCTGAAAATTTAGCTTTGATCACAGGAATAAATTACATTTTAAAATATATTCAAATAGAAAGCAGTTATTTTATATAGTAAAAAATACTTCACAATATTACTGCTTTTGCTGTATTTTGGATCAAATAAATGTAGGCTTGGTGAGCAGAAGAGAATTCTTTAAAAAACATTAAACCTCTTACTGTTCAAAAACTTTTGACTGGTAGAATAAAAGTAATTGGCAAATATACATATTTACAGCTGTTTATTTAAAACGTTCGAAGTGTAACAAAACATAATACATTTAGGTAAAACTTTAGTATAGAGACCAATTCTCACTATTAACTAGTTGTTTATTAGCATGCCTATTATTAAAAAAATGCTGGGTCGTTTCAACCCAACTTTGGTTCAAGTATGGACTAACCCAACTTTTGGGTTAAAAATGTAATTTA